ACAGAAACGTTCACCAATTTGCAGGTCTTATAATATGGTTTAAAAAGTTTGTAAAAAAAAAAAAGAAATCGGATCCATTTCTTTGAATGAACTGCCACCCAGAATTTCTATACTGCCAATGCCAGAGAGTGATGCATGTTGGTAGCGGTGTTTGCTTGCCGTGATCCGGGGCCACACGAGTGCAGCTGACGAGGACGCACAGAGCTTCACGCGTACAGATATGTACGGGATAAATCTTGTGCCAGCAGGAACTGAATTTGAATTGCTCTGATTGAATCTGAATGTGCATAATTTCAAACTGAATGCATTGGTTTGAAAATAAATTTCACTAAACTGAAACTGAATTTAAAGTTTTGAACTTGAATTAATTTGCTTTGAAACTGTATTTTGGTTTATTAAAAATTCAGTTTGACTACTTTCACTTTCAGTTCCATAATTCAGATTTTTGTGTCACATCCTGGTCCTTGAGAAAGCCAGGCAGAGTAATCAAACACAGATCCACAGATTTATGTTTCACTTTGGTGAAGCTTCCCTTCTGGATGTAACAGAGTTGATGCAATCCACTGTAAAAGTGACAAAAACAGACAAAGTTATTTTATTGCAGTGATTAATTTGACCTATATGTAGAAAATGTTACATTTATTGTATTGTTTATTGTTACATAGATCACATATTTGAACCAACGCATATTTACCAACGCATTCTCACTCCCCCCGCGTCAACATATTGACGCTAGTTCAGGTAGCCTTTTGCGTCCAGTTTTGACGCGCCGGGTACCCCCCACTTGTCAGTTTTTTACGAGATGAGGTAGAGGAAGACGGGCGCGTTGTTCTATTTTTTCTTACAAGAGTGGGAAATGCACAAAACTAACAATCCCAGACCCTAAATTTAACTTTTATTAGCCCTATACAGCCTATCCCTGACCCCAGTATGTCAAATTAACCATTAACCCTGATCCCTCATGTTAACCTTGGATCCCCGACCCAAAGACCCCTAAGTGATGCGACCCGGAAAAGCCGCGGGCAGCAAGGACAGACGTGTGGGGGGTACCCGACGCGTCAAAACTGGACGCAGATGGTCCCTGCCCAAGCATCAATATGTTGACGAGTCCGACGTCAGAATGTGTCACTTTTACAGTGGATTGCATCAACTCTGTTACATACAGAAGAGAAACTTCACCAAAGTGAAACATAAATCTGTGGATCTGTGTTTGATTACTCTGCCTGGCTTTCTCAAGGACCAGGATGTGACACAAAAATCTGAATTATGGAACTGAAAGTGAAAGTAGTCAAACTGAATTTTTAATAAACAAAAATACAGTTTCAAAGCAAATTAATTCAGATAAAAAACTTTAAATTCATTTTCAAATTCTGCACATTCAGATTCAATCTGAGCAATTCAAATTCAGTTCCTGCTGGCACAAGATTGATCCCATAGATACGCTTCACTCCAAACAGCCACTGAAGGACACGTAGAAATGTTTTTATCTATTTTGTTTTTACTGTATTGAGCTGCATGATGCAAAACACCGTATGTGAGTGTCGAAGCACCTTGATTTACGACCACTGAAAGAGCTTTACCACTGTGAATGATGCCTTGGTACTGAAGCAGAGAAAAAGCCAGACGGTTACAGCTGGGGGACGCAGGGAGTTTGACGAAAGGTCCTCAGAGATAAAGCCTTGTTTTGACGGGGAGGGGCATGTCTGACAAAGCGAGAAGATCAAAAGAATAATTTGTATTAAACGCCACACAGCAGCAGCGGCTTATTTATATCTCCTAACAGGCCGTCTCTTCTTCTCTGTCCCTCTCTCCTTGTTATGTATCGCTCCCTCCGTCCTCCAAACTCCCCTTTTGCAGGTGACCTCTCAGAGTCTGGCTGAGGTGGAATCCCAGGATTCGTTGTCAGGCTGTCAGGCTGTCTGCTACCTGTGAGCGTCCGCCGAGTGCTGCCACACACACACACACACTTACACAGAGAAGATACATGCACTCTTAAAACTGAACCTTAAACGGAGCAAAGCTGATATGTACATAAAATGCACAAACATCTCACATAAACACACACACAACTCACAAACGTGACATACAGCCAAAAGCTTGGTTTGACCATAGTCTGTGTGAAACAGGGTGTTTAGTTCAACTAAGAGATGATGGAAACTGATGATATATCACTTCAATAGACTTTTACATGTCAATACCATGTCTATTACATGACAAATATAGAGGGGCCGATGTTTCATAATAAAAATGAAAGAAAATAACGGGGGAAAAAAGACGAAACAAAATGGGTTTAGGTTAGAAAGACTTCTGAGACGATCCTAACGACCTGTATATAGTTTAGTTTACAAAGAGCAGCATTTAAAAACAAGAAAAAGTGCAAAAAGAATACTACTTTAGATAAAACACTGAACAGAACACAGCAACATAACTATTATTGTTATTATTATTATTATTATCATTATTATTCCTATTATTATTACCACTAGTGACATCATTACATTCCAAATTGTAAAAAGGGAAATCACAAACCTATTTTTAAATTTCTACTTAGATTTTAGGTGAAAACACGCAGCATTTAAAAACAAGAAAAAGTGCAAAAAGA